ACATGAACCATAAATGGCTAAAAATTCTTAATGTATTGAACCCAAAGTTAGAATGTTGAGCCATTATTCTTTTATGAATGGAACAAAAAACATGTCTTTTGGACAATCCTACGTTGCCTTAGACAATAAATTCCATTGCACCTTGGAGTCTATTGTCGCACAATAAAGTTTGATAGAGTAATCTAACAACTCGAAGAAAATAAAATCTCTGACAACGGTTTGGTTTGGAGAGAATAGGGTTGTTTCAATCTTAAACTTTTAGATGAGATTAGACTAAACTCGAGTGCAACAAGCTTATAAACTATTTGGATCTAGGGTTTATGTTGAATTTGGTAAGCGGATTTGAGATTATCTTCATTAAATTTGTTTAATTGAAAATATATATTTTTTTTAATGAAACTCTAGCTTTAATTTCCATGAAAGGGACGTCCAATGTTTTCTTAAAAAAAAGTAAAATGGAAATAAATTGAAAATGTTATTTTAAGGCTATATAATTCTTAAAATAAAAANTATTGATGAGGACGCTATGTGTCACGGTCATACTTGTCCAAGACGTGTTGTCTATGGCCGCATGTTGGATGTCCCGGTCATGCTTTCCAGGACGTGTTGTACTTGGCCGCATGCCCATTCTAAACCATTTTTACATGCTTTCATCTTAGATAGTTTTTTACCATTTCTTGTTGTGTCAATACGAGGGTGTATGACATTCATCAAAATCATGTATACACGCACTTTTACCATTTCTTGTTGTGTCAATACGAGGGTGTATGACATTCATCAAAATCATGTATACACGCACCAAGGGTAAAATGCCTCAAAATATACGGTAAGAGATGTGACTAGTCGTAAATTCTTCATATTCTTGAGTTATATGTTATTTAAGCTGTGGTGTTTCTTTCTTTGCTTATAGTCATGTAATGTTGTTTTCTTCAATTCTTTCAAATTGTTTTCCAGTGTATTTTTCCGCTCACGTTTTTTAAAACATTTCTCGCAAACGTGACCCGAGACTCAAACATACGCTGATGTTGTTTGCGAAGTCCAAATTTCTCACGGTTCACTTATTTGCTGGATTAGAACAAGTGACGCACAATCGTTGTCCCAATACTGTAAGAGTGCGATTGTGGCACTATACACATCTGATCACACTTCATATGTCGTACAACATCTTTGTTCAAGGAATTCGAAAAACTTAGAGCTGATAACTTCCACTCTTCAACTGTGCTTGCTTCAGAAGCAATCACCGTTCATGGGTTAATTCCGTTGAACACATGAGGATTACAATATACTAAAATGACTCTTGTTTGGTTATAGTTCGAAGATCCGATTGGTTCTATACTGAATCCTCAAACCCA